CTTTTAGATCTAATAATATTTGTTTTCTATATCTAAGTGCATATATATTTCCTACTGTTAGATGCTCTTGCTGAAGTTATCCCGTGTTTGTGTTATTTTTATCTGATATAAACGTAGCTACTCCCTATTTGCTTTTGGTTTCCACTTGGGTAGAATGCCTTCTTCCATCTCTTCACTTTAAGTCTATATTGTTTCTTGACAGGTAAAGTGAGTTTCTTGTAGGAAGCACATAGTTGGGTCACTTAACAAACCCATTCGGCCAGTCTATATATTCTAAGTGAAGGATTTAATCTATTTACATTCAAAGTTATTATGCAAAAGAACATGCTTCTGTCATTTTATTAATTGTTTTCTAGTTATTTTGTATATCTTTTATTCCTTTCTTCCACTCTTACTGTTTCTGATTGTGGTTTGGCGGTTTTCTATAGTAATAAGATTTGATTCTTCTCTCTTCTTATAAGTGTATCTGCTTTGCCAGTGGATTTTATACTTTTGCATGTTTTCATGATGGTAATCATCCTCTTTTCACTTCCAGATGCAGGACTCCCTTCAGCATGTCTTGTAAGACAAAAAACTCAATATTGTCAGGATGTCAGTTCTTCCCAACTAAATCTATAGATTCAATAAAATCACAATGACAATATCAGAAAGTTTTTTTAATGGATATCAGCAATCTAATTCTAAAATTTATATAGAGAGACAAGTGACTCAGAATAGCCAACACAACGTTTGAAGCAGTAGAACACAGTTGGAGGACAGACAATATCCAACGTCAAGACTTACTGTGAAGCTACAGTAACCAAGGTGTTGTTGCATTGGTGAAAGAAAAGACAAATAGGTCAACGGAACAGAATTAAAAGCCCCCAAAATAGATCCACACAAATATAGTCAACTTATCTATGATAAAGATGCAAAGGCAATACAGTGGCCCCAAATGAGAAAAAATAATATATTTGGAGATCAGAATCAAGGCCAGAGTAACTGAGTGTAGCAAGGGCAGGAGATTAGCTAGAGAAGAGATTAGAGAAGTCAACAGGGTTCATGATGTAACATCCCTTAGGCTATGAAAAGAGATCAGTGTTTGCAGCAGGATATTATTCTGAGACACTAACTGAGGTTTCTCTCATTCTCCTACCACCCACATAGTCAGGTGCCTTCACCGCCCTCAGAAAAAAAAAAAAATTACCTCTTATATACACAACCGTTTAGGGAGACGAGATTGTTCACAGAGCACAATATTAGAATTTTTGCCTTTGAGTTCCAAAACACAGCCTTTAAAGTCATGGTAGAAATAACAATCTTGAAAGACGACATTCCTTAACGGCCAGACTTTCTGAGAGAGGAAATAATAATGGCCCCATATATTTAGCATTCATTGTGTGCCAGGCACAGTTCTGAGTCCCTTATATTGAGACCTCAGGAAACCCGGATGTAGGCAATACTGTTGTCCCCATGATATGGTTGAGGGAACCGAGTCACAGAGAGAGGAATTAACCTGCTCAAATCACGCAGCAGGGCCAGGACTTGAGCCCAAGCGGCCTGGCTTGAAATCCTATGCCTCTGAAGGTACGGGAAGAGTCACAGAGGGAACCAACCGGAAGGGGGAGAAACAGGGGTGGGAAGTTGGCAGAAAAAGGAACTAAAAATTTCTGAGAGCCTGCCAGGGTGGAAACTGTACCCTTTCCCTTTGTTCTGAGCTGGGGACTCCAGTCTTGGGGGGACATTCCCAGGACAGATGAAGGCATCTGCCCCTGTGGTTGCTTCTCGCTAAATAAGTGTCTCAGTCTTGCTCCTTAAATCCATTCTTAATCCTGTTCTCTCTCCTGCTCAAACATGTCCTAGGGCTCCCTACTGCCCACAGGAGAAAGTTTTTACTTGGGATCTGGGAGAACCCATTAAGGGCCTAGGTGCCCCGTGATCAGCCAGAAAGGCAGTCAGGGTTTTGGGTTCAGAGACATCACCCTGCCCCCACCCACTCACCCCGCTTTCTTGGATCCCACCAGTCCCCAGGAGCCCCATGCTGGCTGTAAATGAGGCTCAAGCAGAGGTGTCAGCATAGATTTATTCCTGGGAATCTACAAAGGTGGGTGGGTGGATCCGACAGTCACTGTGGGTTCGCACCCAGGGACTCCAACCTCAGCCAGAGTCCACCCTCTGCGCGCATGACCATCTCCGGCTTCCTGCCGGACTCAGTGCGGTCCGGCAGGACACGGAAGCGCATCAGTGTGAGTGCCGGGACCACCTTCATCTCAGCCATGGTGAACGCCTGCCCAATGCAGTTTCTGGGGACGAAAGTGAGGGAATCTGACTGTGCCCATGACCCCCCATCCTGGCCCAATCATGCTTAGAACCTGGCCTGGGACCCCGACTTGCACCTTGATGAGCTCAAGGGGCAGAGAGGGGCTGCGTGTCCCGAGGACACCCATGTGTGCTTGCATACCCCCTAAATCTGGCCCAGACTCCTACCCCCAGTTCAGATCAGCAGATGGAGGAGGGGGTTCTGAGCACACCGCAGACCCCTCTAGGACCTTCCCAACCCCACTCTGTGGGCTGTTGCC